GAGACCGTCAAGCCCTCTTACCTAAATTCATGGGCCCGTCGTGGATCTGGATAGCTAGATGAAGTACGTGCTTCTTCGTCACGTAGATAGGTGAATTGTGCGATATTTAACTCGTGCGAGAGTGCGGAATAGTGTACGCGCGTCGAGGAGATATACGATCTAGGAGTAGAGCCACGCATTCCTTGTTTGAGAGCTTCTCCCGGTTAATTGGCAGGATATCGTTATAATTGGGTCGTCGCGTTAGTGCCCTTTTGTGTTTTGGTTGCCTAGTTAAATTAATTTGCGTGTCAACGAGGCGTATGTTGAGTTTCGTGCGACGTGTTGTTCTGTGTCGAATTTATAATTTGTGATAAGTGAATCCGGGACATTGAATATTGAACTTTGAACTACTGTCCGGTGCCGTGTCGGGTATCACGTGTTCTGCGATGAGTGTGGAATTAGGCGAATTGAAGTTAGTTAAATATACAATGAAGCTAAGAGACTGAATAGTGACAGTGAAGAAAGAAGTGGTCCGGCGCTGAAGCAGTCTGGAGCGATTCAGCATTTTGGAGCAGCCTGGAACTCGGCCGCTGCTGGTCGCCTGTGCTTGCCAAGGCCCCACACATTCACACATCACTGTACACGACTCGCTATCTACCATTACACACACTCACGGCCTGCCCAAGCCTTGGAGCGAAGTTAGCTCCTGATACAGGTAAGTACCTTTGCTTTCTAGGTTGCCCCCATATAGCTTATTGTGATAGGAAATTCCACGCGGCCATATTGAGGCCCGACCTGCGTCTGCTCGTGAAGTCTTCTGCTGAATGGGCCCCGGAGGATTTGAGTCTTGTAGGGGCAGCCGTGGCCGTAACACTTTGCAATGACAGGCTTTCCGCACTCGTAATGAAATATACTATTTCGCTAATGAAGGCATTCAATTTAAATTCATACCTCTATATTCTCTCACTTTCAGTGGGCTCTGGGAAGCCGATATAAAGAGCGCAAAACACCATTTAAAACGTATTGTGAAAAATGCTAGCCTTGCTTTCGAGAAGTTGAGCAGGGTTTTCACACAAATTGAAGCCACTCTCAACCCCGACCCGACCCCTGATTCCCTTATCATCTGACCCAACAGATCTCTCTCCTTTGATCCCAGGGCACTTCCTCGTCGGGCAGCCGCTAGCGTCACTGCCGTCGCCACCAATCATGAGCACAAAGATGATACGCAACAGATATTGATGATATTGTTTTGTTGTTGCACGGAAAATTGAAATTGAATTAGGTGCCCTTTTAAATGCTTGTGCGTATGCTTTGTAATTGTATTGTAAGTTTGAATTCATTTGAAATTGAATGTCCCGCTATTTGGAAAATTATGTATATGTTTTGTGATAGTGTTTAATCATTTTGCTTTGTGAAAAGGAAGGCTGAAATTAGATAACCCTATTTGTGCCGAATGGAATAAAAGTCAATTCTCCTTTGGTTTACATTTTGTTGGGACTGTCTAAGTAATTTAAATGAGAAATAGGGCTGTCTCTCGCGTTTATTGTTTTGTTTAATTTGTCAAGTTGACCTAGGTGCATCGGTGATTAATTTCGTTGAATTGATTCTGTAGTTGAACATTGATGCTTTGAAAATTTTGTTGAAATATGAGCATAGGACTACTTGTCTAACAGGCTGGCTAGTTTGTAGATTATCTGATGGAAATCAGCTGTCGCACCATTTGGTAAATGATTATATGGTGGATGGCTTGGTTATGCCTACTTGTTTGAAAACTCATACTAAGGATTTTTTATTTTTTTATTTATTTTTATTTTATTTTATTTTTTATTATCTGTGCATTTGTTCGGCTCTCCACAGACGACGTTCATGGGGAATTTGGGGGTGCTCTCTGCACTGAAGCTTAGGAGGTCTATCTGGGCCGCTTCGTGTCGCGTCGCTGTTTGCAGACCTGATCCGGTCGGATTGCGGAACTAATCATAGGAGCACAGATAGGTGTTTGAAGGAGGTCGTCGGACTTCTGTCTAGGAATAGGACTTATTTATGGGCTGCGATGTCCAGGAAGGGTATCCAGTTCAACCCTCCGGCTTGCCCACGATGGGGCTGTAATTTTGAGGCGTTGGTTAGGGTTGCAAGATCTGATGTGGTGCCTAAGGTGGCCTAGTTTGGTTGTAGATTCGGTCTTGCAACTTGCCGTCGCGACCCTGTCCCGCTGACCGGTTTGCTCGCGGACCTAAATCCTTATGTCTGGGACGGGGGTTTGTTTACGCCCAAACGCTGACTTCGGGATTGACGTCAGAGGGCGCGCGGCTCGGCGATACCGGTTTGACGTTCGGTCGTGCGTAGAACGCGCACCGTCAAATAGGAGTCGTTTGCCAGCTGTGCTTGGGACTGTGGACGACTGAAATCCGAGCTGCTGCCGACGGCAACGCTCTCATAAGGTCTACCACACTCAGTCACACACAGACACACACAGACACACATCACTGACCTTTACTTCCCATGCACCATACAACCTCATGCGACCTGACCGAACCCTGAGGGACCAGTCGCCTTGGATATAGGTAGGTAAGCTCGAGTTTAATATTCTCCCTGTTGAATAGCAGTTGGATCGGACGCCCCTCCTTATTGTTTATTGTAATTAGGAAATTCCACGCGGCCATATTGAGGCCCGACCTAAGTCTGTTAGTTGAAACTCTGCTGAATGGGCCCCAGAGGATTTAACTCTTTGTGGGAGCAGCCGTAGGCCGTAACACAGATGATGGAGCAGATCAGGAACCACATGTGGAACAGATGGCATAATGAGTATCTCTCCGAACTACAACAGCGCTCAATATGGAAGATTCGCCAGAAGGACCTGAAATTGGGTGACTTAGTAGTATTCAAAGAAGAAAACTTACCTCCTTTGAAGTGAAAACTTGGACGTGTTCATCAATTTTACACTGGAGCTGATGGCGTTAATAGGGTTGCAGATTTCATTACTCACCGAGGCATCGAACTACGAGCACTTAAAAAAGTTTGTCCGCTCCCAGGAGGCATTGATGATAATGAAGATGTTGAAAAGGCTGTGTGGCAGCGCTGTCGTCGCGCCACAAGCGAAACACATCGAAGCCTAAATCACGCTAACAAAGTTCCGAAGTTAAAGCAGTATATATAGAATAGCTCCGAACTACCACTCGGAGCGTTGGCCGCTCCCCGGGCAGAACACCTTGCCCGGCGGGAGATCTCCCCTTTTCCTTCCACCGGCTACACTAGTGACCCCGACGTGATATGAACACGCAACCAACAAACCTGCGGAAACTACACCTTTAAACCTTCATCATCTTCAAGTACCCTATTCATTCGCTCCCGAGCTGATATTGTCTGCAGTCTTCACATTCTGCAAGCCATCTAGCTTTACAAAGGTTCATCGCAGCACTGGAATAATAATGCTTCCTGTTCCTTCAAGCCACTCTCTGTGCAGCAGTGTTCGGCACGGCTCTGAGCCTTACTGCTCGCCTCTGCTTCACGGCAGTCTCGCAGATTACTTGCCTTCTTCTCGACTCACCGCAGACTACAAGGCAATCCCTGGCACTTGCTCCGGCTCATCGTTCTCACCGGCATCACTTGCAAGTGCGTAGTATGGCATGCATTACACACCGGCATATCGTTCGCACCGGCGTCACTTGCCCTTACGCACACAGCATGCATTCCCCATCGGCATTAAGGATGCACCAGCAATGGGACTGCACTATCGACCTCCGGTCTGAGCAGGGGGGTGATGTGGCGGCGCTGTCGTCGCGCCACAAGCGAAACACATCGAAGCCTAAATCACGCTAACAAAGTTCCGAAGTTAAAGCAATATATATATAGAATAGCTCCGAACTACCACTCAGAGCATTGGCCGCTCCCCGTGCAGAACACCTTGCTCGGCGGGAGATCTCCCCTTTTCCTTCCACCCGCCACAGTTGCAACAGGCGATGCTAATGCTGAATAAGAAGCTACAGTAGATGAAGACGATACTCATGAAGTTTTGAAAGAAGAAGTTGCTCTTTTCAAGGCCCCCCAAGATGTTGAGGCGGACAAGGCCGCAGGGAGGCGGCGGAGTGTGGAAGGGCAGTTCATGACCGCCGCATTCGTCATAGCACGGCTCGGCAGTAGCCCGCGCACTAGCTAGCCGTTAGTTTTCATATACCTTTGTTACTCATCTTATAAAAAATTTAATTTATATCAAACACAAGCTTTAATCCTGCGTAAACAGCCATAAAGCACAGTTTTAAGCCACTAGCATCCAGCAACTTCTTGTATAACTTACCAGATCGTCGTAACTCCATCACTCACTCAACAACACTCCTACACTTTGTCTACCGGTACGAGGCTGACACTCGGGAACCTTTCTTCCTCATCGGTTATCGATTGTTATCGGGTGTTTATCGGCCAAATTGTTTTAACTTGTGCTATTCATTTTTAAGATTGCACGTTCAATCAAAATGTTCAATGACGGCTCTGTGGCGCAGTGGCTTAGCAATGAGTTGCGGCGGTAAAGGCCGCAGGTGCAAATCCCGCACGGAACAAGTATTTGTATAGCCTACAAGTGATTGTTCCAGGTCTGGATGTTTGTCTTTGAGCAAGTTACGTATGTAAACTGCCTCCACGATACAGGACAAAATTCTAGTGTAGGGGATAATGTATGTTACGTTTTACGGAAGAAAGTCCATGAATGATCCATCAAAATTTCAATCATTCATATTTTTCAAAGTTACCGTTACCTTTAGAGCCTATTAAAGTCCAGTAGACCTAAGCCTCCCCCATACGTTACCTCACAGTGGAGATATTTGCTATAGTTGCTGCGGTTGGCTAGCGTGTTGGCAACCACAGTTTTTTATTTTTTATTGTTATTAGGAAGACACTGCTTCTCATCTCCTGATTTGTTTCCCTCTGTCGCCTCTTACAATATCCATGGGGAGATATTTTCTAAGTTGTTCCGACTAAAAAATTATCCCCTAATTCCTCAGCCTAAGTCTGCCACAATAGCCCACACTTACCAGGTACAGCTGGCAGCTGGTCAGCACGGTGACCCAGAACAGATGGAAGGTTGCGTTGAGCAGCACCCAGGCAAGCCAGGCGTTGCACTGCAGCCAGCCCAGAGCCGTGTCCAGTGCTGAGCCTCTGTCACCGCACTGGGTCATGAAGTACTGCACGCCGCCCCACAGCATCCAAACGCACATTATCATAAGACTGACTAAAAAGCCGATGAAATATTGATGATTTTTAGCACCTGCAAAAATAGCAAATAAAACAATTGATAAGGCATACACATGTGTATTATGCACTTTGTTTTTCGTTTGACGTTATACATAATATGTGACTGAGTGCTCGTTTGTCACCCTTATTCAATAAGAAAGATTAATGCACAGCCAAGTACGCTCGTTCCTTGTCCATACTGATACTAACTCGTAAATAATGTATGTGCTAGTCACTTCAGATATTCAATACTAGTTCTTTCGATTAGATATCGGTCCAGCCGTTTCGGAGATTAGTCGGTACAAACAGACAGATAGATAGACATACAGACAAAAATTTTAAAAATTATGTTTTTGTTATAAGTACCGTATACACTTTCATATGTATTTAGTAAATAACTGTTATTTTAACATTACAAACAGACACTTTCATTTTATTTATTTGTATAGATTAACTACTAACTCAACGGAAATCTTCATCTGCATTGGAGATCGGTCCACAATTGATGAAGAAATTGGTGAACATACATAGTATAATTAACTTATAGTAGGTGGCGCGCGTATCGTACCGACAAATTTATTTGAAAGTATCATTCAACTTCAATAAATGTTCTTTTTTTTATACTATCGGGTGACAAACGAGCACACAGTCCACCTGATGGTAAGTGGTTACTGTGGTCCATAGACATCTACATCTATCCTCGTTTGCGAATCAAAATGCAGATGCGTTGTCACCCGTGAGGACTAACATAGAATGCCACTTTTCCAGTAAAAAGGGTCTCCGGTTCTCTACACTCACCATACAAAACACAGCAGCATTAAGCTGCTATTTTACGCTGGTATTCTGTGAGAGCGTGGTCCTTTCCCGATCGAGCCGACCCATTCGTGCTACAACTATACTACTAATATAGCTGCAGCGTGGCTCTACCACGTATAGTAATATTTATATTATATATAATTAGGAATGATAATGTATTATCATTTCTAATTAAACCATACAACTGTTCCAAATTTAAAACGATATTTCCACAATTATTTCTCCTGCGGCAGCAACGAGCCGTGTACCAGCTAGTATTGAATAAAAAAATATTTCGTTGTATTGTATTCTACTAACCGATACAGTTGGCCACCCAGGGGCAGTGGTGGTCGAACTTGGCGACGCAGCGGTTGCAGACGGAGCAGTGCTTGGAGCGCAGCGGCCGCCGCAGCAGGCAGGCCGAGCAGAAGCGCGCCGGTTCGAACCCGCCGCCGTTGCTCTCCGACAGCTCGATGATCGTCTGCCGCCAGTCCTTCACGGTCAACCCACATTGACCCAAACAGTTCTTACAAACACTTCTATGAACACTACAACAGGAGTAGTAGGCAGCTACTAATAGATGGTAGAGCCACGCTACGCCTAATTTATGGCTGCGGCACGAAGGGCTCGCCTCGACCGGGAAAGAAACACGTTCTCACAAAATACCAGCGTAAGATAGCGGCTTAATGCTGCTGTGTTTCGTGTGGTCAGTGTAGAGAATCGGAGACCCTCTATACTGGGAACGAAGTATATCATCTTAGTCCTCTGAGGTGACGACGATTCTGCATTTTTATTCTCAATCGAAGACGCATGTAGATGTCTATGAGCCACAGCCATCATCAGATGGACTGTGCGCTCGTTTGTGACCCTTATTCTATAAAAAAGTAAATTGCACAAATTACGCTCAATTCTCCATAACTTCTTTAGTCGAGTGCAAGCGGGCGAGAAGACTAGTTCTTTGTTTTGTGAACCGCGAACTACCGTTACTAAGAAACCAACTGCACTTTGACAACGTGATTTAAAGTTTACTTCAGATAAGTATGTAGCTTATTTTGTATTTGAATAAATAGAATAGAATGGAATAGAATATAATGATTTTTATTCAATATGGATTATTACATAATACTTATTGAAAGTCATTATTTTATTTACCACTGGTTCGGAAAATACCTCTGTAAACAGCAAGAAACCCAGCGGGACCTTTTTTTTTAAACATAATTTCACTTAACAATAATTTTGTTTATACAGTTTTAAATGAATTTTCATAAAACCAGCATGGTGGCGATCACCTTATTCCCAGGGGTTATTTTCATTCATGTATTCCTTGATATTATAATAACCCTTTTTGTACAGTTTTTCTTTAATAAAACTTTTAAACTTGTTTATTGACAAACTTTGAACATGTTCTGGGATTCTGTTGTAAAAGCGTATACATTGCCCCATAAATGAATTACTAATTCTGTGGAGTCTAGTAAGTGGCATTACAAGCTTATGTTTGTTCCTAGTGTTTAAGGTATGAACATCCTTATTTTTATTAAAGCTATTTATGTTTTTATGTACATACATTACATTTTCATAAATATATTGCGATGCCAAAGTTAATATGTTTATTTCTTTAAATTTTTCTCTAAGGGACTCTTTACAATTTAGATTATAAATCCCCGTACGGCTCTCTTTTGCAAAACAAATATAGCTTCAATATCAGTCGCATTACCCCATAGCAAAATTCCATAAGACATTACGCTATGAAAGTAACTAAAATACACTAACCTAGCTGTCTCAACATCTGTGAGACTTCTAATCTTTCTTACAGCATATGCTGCAGAACTAAGTCTGCTTGCTAATTTAGATATATGGGGGCCCCATTAAAGTTTCGCGTCAATAGTAATACCGAGAAAAACAGTGGTATCCACAAGACTCAACTCCTCCCCATTTAAGAGCACATTGGTTTTCGAATGTTTTACATTAGGTATTGTAAATTTAATACATTTTGTCTTATTGCCGTTTAAGAGCAAATTGTTGGCGTTAAACCAATGTACTAGTTTCGATAGAGTATTATTTACATCGTCATATTTAATTGACTGCCGTTTCAGTTTGAAAATTAAAGAGGTATCGTCAGCAAATAATACTATATCGTGATTGTCCCCTACAAGATAAGGTAAGTCATTAATATAGATTAAGAACAGGAATGGGCCAAGAATCGAGCCCTGAGGAACGCCCATTGATACTACCGATCCGGAGGAACATTTACCATTAATGACGAGTTTTTGAGTTCTGTTACTTAAATATGAAGTAATAAGTTTAAGCGCCAAATTTTTTACACCGTAATGTTGTAGTTTCCTGATTAATGTATCATGATGAACACAATCGAAAGCCTTGGAAAGGTCACAGAAAATACCTAAGGCATCTTGTGAATTCTCCCAGGCATTAAATATATATTTCATAAGCTCAACACCGGCGTCAGACGTCGAGCGACCCCTTGTAAAACCAAATTGATTTTTATGAAGTAATTTATTTGTATTAAAAAAAAATTAACAATTGATCCAAAATTATTTTTTCAAAAATTTTACTGAGAGTTGGTAGTACAGAAATAGGTCTATAATTAGCGGGGTCCAATGTACTACCAGATTTAAATAAAGGTATTACTTTACTATACTTCATTAAATCAGGAAACACACCAGAATCGATACAAGTATTAAAAATAATAGCAAGATGAGGTGCAATTGAATCTATTATGGACGCAATCACTGTAACGGAAATCCCCCACAAATCTGCGGTTTTCTTTACATCAATGGTTTTGAAGTATTTTACAATATTATGCGGTAATACTTTTTCAAATCTAAATTCTTTTAAACAGGTATTAACATTATGTTTAAGTAATGACTCGGCGACAGTTGGAGAAGTATTCAATGACTCTGTTGTCAAGATAGGAACATCAGTGAAATATTTTTCAAACACCGCTGCAACTTCTTGATTTGATTTAGTCAATTCATTAAAAATAATAACTGTCGTAAATGACAATACAACTGCGTGGCATATTAGTGGCCACGGAGCCGCGCGCGGTCTACAGCTGTGTCCTGTCACAGTCACACAGTCTTTGTTCTGAATTGTGAGTCTCATAGTATACATAGAAGTTTTTGCGTTGGCCTTTTTGATTTTGATTTAGCTATTACTATTGCGCGTTTACATTAGCCCTTGACTCGGCCGATGTGCAGTGGCTCTATGCATGCCGATGTAAGCGATCGCTTGTAACTCCTGCATTTAACCAGTTTAAACTATGATTGATGCATTTATTTTTCGTTCTTGTTCCTCTCACTGTTTCATTTGGTAAGATGACGTAATCCATTAGCCATTAGCAATTTAATTCAAGCATTGTGCACAACTTTTTTTGTAGAAATATTACAATCAATTATGATTCATTCATATTAGCAAAATATGTGAAAAAAATAACCATCAGTTTTTATTTTTTTTACGACAATTTGCAACATTTTGATAAAAAGAATACTAATATTTTTATTGAATATGTCTGCCTACTTATAGTATTTTTAGAAATCATAATATACTATTGGTAATAGAACAAAAAATGTACCTAAACTCGGGCCGGTATCGTTAATTTTATAGAAAATGGCTAGGGAAGATCGTTTTTATAATATAAAAAACTATTATTTTGTACGAAAAAGTTACTACCATTTAAAGATAAAGAACCAGTCTACACGTGGTAGTTACTAGTTATATTTGATTTGATTTAGTTTTGTCACAAAATGTACCGAACAGCATAATTTTGCCCGATTTGCAAACATGTCCTTAAGAGAGATCTTAGCAAATTAATTTTTGCCATCTTTAATGGATTTCTGCAAGGAAACGCCTGATTCTAGTAATTAGATTAGTTAATGCCAATACAGACAACTAAAATTAACCTAAATTTGTATTTGTAAACATTTTGATTTTAATTATTATTTACTATGTGAATAAGACCAAGCACTCACACGAAACTTGTCCGACTTAGTGGCGGTGATGATGCCAGGGTCGCTGCGCCAGGAGCGTAGGAATGTGTACCACAGAAAGCCCGAGAACAGGAAGAACCCTAACGTTGCCGAAGCACTCACAACTGGCGCGATGAATACCACCCAAGTTATATAAAACCATACCTGGAATATACAAAAAATTGGTACTATGTTAGAAACATATTACATGTATAAGTATTTATTTAATATAAATATGATTGAAAATGAGGTTTCGTACCTTCGTAGCCAAGTATACACTCAAAGGGAATATATTTTTAAGTTCATCGTCAAAAAGTGCATTACTAAGGAAATGAAGTAAGGCGTAAAAGCAGACAAGAAGGAACATTTTAAGCAAGTAGATTGTATCCATCTCCAACACTAGGCCGGTGAGGTAGAATGCCATGAAAGGCATGACGACTACGCACCACCATCTGAATTTCTGCAAATGATTGTTTGAATTTTACTACTGATAAATGTCAAATAATTGAAGTTATTGATTGTGTGATGATTTACCTTATCATAAGTTAACCTACGAAAAATACTTCTCCTCGTTGTGAGCAGAGCATGCTCCTTAATTTTGTCTGACACCTTAGAGCCCACCCACAGAGAGTCCGCATTAGACTGCAGCATCACCAGAGGAGTGACCCCACGAAGGTTTGGAATATCCAAACTGGCATTACCCTGCAAAAAGTTAATTATTCATTGCTAATTTAACACATATAAATCAGTACCTATTTTGATTATATTTTAAAATTAAATTACTAATATTCAAGAAGTTTATTTGTTATCTATATTTTCAACGCCCACTGGCTAACACTTTTATAACTATATATGAGTTATTCCTAGAATGGACTATTAGGCAAGAATTTATTGAAAAAGTTGCCTACAGTGACCCAACCAGGCCGATGGTTTGTTAAGTATAATTGAAGCACTCATATTGGTAATGCTGCTCCACACACACCAATCAATGAAGTACATAAAGTACCGCATGATTTCTTCATTATATCACAAAATAATGAAGAAAGAATGCAGAACCAAAATCTAAAACTAATTTAAAAATACTCAAATCAAGGTAATTAAGAAAAGGACAATCAATTACAAGTATTAAGGTTCTGTACAATATTATGATTTTGATCATATTTTGAACTAGTTTGTTCAGGATTAAATCCATAACAAAAACAATCCAAAAACTGAACTTTGATGGCTCCCTTACAATTATTATTGAAGACAAAAAAATAATAAAATATGTACACTACTCAATGAGCTCTAGATAGTGAACCCCACATGTTAGTCATGTTAGTAATCCTTTTTCATGTATGTATAACTCTTCAGAAATATTATTTAATTGAAATTCTCTTCCATATTCAGTTTTTGGTCAACATTCTATATCAAATATCCAAATTCTAGGTCTGTAACAAAGTCTGTCTACAAGCTATAAATATGTGACATATTATGATGACAGTTAACAAAGTGGTATTAGAGGCCATTAAATAACTAGAATTTCACTGTAACTGCTAGAAATTATTGTGGCTCAAAACTATTTCGGAATGCTGTAATTATATTCACTATAGTGGTATTCAATCCTACCTATTTAAAATAACTTAATACAAATCTGTATTGATTAAAAATATCACCATTATATGATCATTTTAAATTCTCTTAATTTGAAATGTTCATGTTGCTTAATTACTTGTAACAAATGTGACCTTTTCCTTCTCTATGTCAGACTTTGTATCTGTTGTTTGTAATTTTTAATTTAACTGTCCATTCTCCTTCCTTCTTAACAGCCTTTTTGAAATTTAATGCTGAATAGAGACTTCTACAAGAATGCATGAACTGGCAAACAAAACTTGAAAGATTTCTCTGCTGGGTATGCAAGTTAGGGTTGGTGGGGGCAGTCATTGCTTTCACATTAGTAATGATGATTTATATGATTTTATTTGTGTATTGATTGAAGTTGTAATGATGCCCTTCCGTTCAAAACATTTACTCATTTTACACTGAATGTATATATAGTAATAGCACTATCTACTTCATTCTATATGTCATTTTAAAGAAAAAATTGATTGACTTGTCCTTCAAGATGTCAATGTTACGTAAAGTAGATGTTAGATGGCCTAATTGCAACTAATTGTATATATTCCAAGACAATTGTTTACTCCAATAGTTCATCGGAGGTGACATACACCATTTTTTAAAATATGCTTTGAGATAACTGCATATTATTCTGAATTATCTCCTGTACTTTAGTTCTATTCAAATTAGGACAGGCTACATTAACTTTAGGATACCCTATTGAGTATCTATTGCATATTAATTGCTGTAATATGTAAAGAAAGACATAAGGAGACATTGTATTTAATGGCTCATAAGATAGAGCCATAAATTTTTTGTCCTTTACCTAACATCTATATTCCCCGACTAATGGAGTCATTGTATTGGATTCTATGACTAATTATACCTTCCTTTTCACGTCTTTGAAATTTTTTTTCTTATTTCTCAGACCAGCAGGTTTTGTCACAATGTTTTCCTTCACTGCAGAGCACGTGGTAAATCAGCACTTCAAATTGCAACTAACAATTTTATTAGTAACGGCAGAGATGGAACCTGGGTTGTTCTCGTACTGTGAAATTTACAGCGAGTGTTTAGCCCCTGAGCTACCACGGCTCAGCAGTGATAATCTATCTGATAGTAAATATATATAATTAAAAAAGACATTTTTAGGACATTCATCCATTTTTCATAAATTGAAAATTACCTTCTACATTACATGTTTTCCTTTCTTTACTAAAATTAATGAATCTAAAATGCAACATGCAAAAACATTTAATAATATTCAGTTTATTTACTTACATACAGAATAAGAGTAGAAATAGCTGTTGTATTACGAGCGAGGATAGCCCAATGCAAAGCAGTGTTGCCATGTGATCGATCTGTAGGATTGGTAGATGCACCCAGGGTTAGTAAAAGGCGTGCAGGATCTACAGCGGACACTTTCCAAGCTGCCCACATAAGTGGCGTCATGCCCCCTGCATCTGGAGCATCAGGGTCAGCTCCCCGAGCCACGAGATAAGCCACAACTGCTGTATGTCCAAATTGTGCCGCAAGATGAAGACATGCACAACCCTCTGCATCGCGTAGAGCAGGGTCAGCGCCGGCACGCACTAGGAGCACTGTTGCCTCCAGATGGCCTTGTCTGGTAGCCCAATGCAGGGGCGTTGATTGTAATTCACCGCCAATCGCGTCAACGACGGCACCCTTGGACAGTAGATATTCAATTATTTCACGTCGGTTGTTAATTGCTGCCCAATGTAGTAAAGTTACGGTTTCGTGATCTGGTTGATTGACATCCCAGCCGGCTTCAACAAGTTCTTTAACACGAGCGAAAGCACCATACTGTGTGGCTTTTACAATGTCGAAGCCGCTATAATCACGCTCAAGCGGAGCGAGCGGGGGCTCGCGCGGTGGTGGCCCATCGCTTTCACGCTGGGCCTTGCCGCACTGCCCACTGGCAGCCGCTCCACAAGTACTGTCGTACATGACGTTTACGTGCACCCTGGTGATGCAGCCATCATAACGATTGTCAAAATGTATTTAACCTAAACAAGATAAAAAAGTTATAGTCTAAAGTATTGATATGCGAAACGAAACGAAACAACAACTGTCATCTAGGGCCTAGGGATGATCATCGATGTCAAGAATGAAAACATCGATGTTTTAACATCGATGTTGCCACATGTTAAACATCGAAACATCGATGTCAATAAACCCATAATCGATTATTGGGACTTGTGAATTCGCGAAATTAATATCAACTAAATCTTGCATCTCCTCTAAAATATTTAAAATTTTTAATAATTCAGAATGCTTGAACCCATCGATAATCTAAAAATATATCATTATGGGGTATCAAATTTAACTGACATGTGTTAACTATAATGTCGCAATTGTCACTGATTTCGTTTGTTATAAGTGTCATTGTTGGTTATCCGTTTATTTATCGGTTACTTTTAAAAAAAATCCGATGGTTGATATTAAACACGTTCCAATGCACGTTTAGAACAATGTTATCGGTTCTACCTATCTAAAATTAAAAAGAAAACTTGCGGTGAGACATTTGACCACAATCGCTACATCAGCGCCATCTGAGCGGTTATCTACCGACTTCAAAAAGGAGAAGGTACTCAATTCCACTGTATGTTCTTTTTTAAATGTGTATTACCTCATAATTTTTTTATGGGTGAACCGATTTCGATGATTCTTTTTTTTATTTCAAATTTGTCACACATGTGGTCACATATAAATTAGACCCATATAAGTCTGACCAATAGTTTTTAACAAATGAACTAGATAATTGTGAACTTCTCCCAATTTTTTTAATATTACTGTTTTATACTACATTGTTTATTATATTCTTTTATTTCATTAATTATAAACAATAAACAACATGACATTTTTTATTCATCTTATTCTAACCTATTATATATATGTGTATATATATATATAGAATATCATCTGTAATTCTTATTGAAAGTCATAAAACATAGATATTGACCAACTTCGATGTTTTGAGTAGGATAATCATCGAACATCGATGTTGAGCTGTCGATGTCAACATCGACGTCATCATCGATTTTTCTATAACATCGAACATCTCTACTGTCATCACATTTTTTTATAACCTGGCTTTACGGCTCTGGGTTCTAGCCCTTCTGAGCCTGAAGTAGTCTGGCAAATGAAAGTAGGGACTGAAAAAGCACGGCAAATTTAAAAAATTTCAGCCTAGCAACCCCAAAATTTGTATGAAGTACCTAGAATAACCTGATTTGATACTTTAGAGTTGATTTTGTGTAAAATATTATTTGAACACTACTGCTTGACAGAATGTGGACAGGTCCAAAAATGGGAACCAACGGTAGCTGTTGTATGTAAAGTCGTATTTTTAATCAGACAAAGTAAACTGAAATTTCATGATATGAAATCATGTCTACCTATTTTGATCCAAACCAAAGCGACATTGCGTGCGTGGCATTTCGAAAATCAGTTTACTTTGTTGGAATAAAAATACGACTAGGTATTATGCGATAATATCTGAATAAAAAAAACAACAATATTCTATAATAATTTTGGTTTATTCACTACCATAATCGAAATCTGAATCTAGGGTTTCCATGCGGAAAGATTCATTTGACCCCCTGAAATCACTATCTCCAAAATGAATAATAAAACTTTCTAAATTTTCTTCTATCCCTTTCTTTATATTTATTTTCAATGTGAATTACATGATCAGTCATTATCTTCCATTCCTGTGGAGTTATGCTTTCAAAAGACTCTTTAATAAATTTCTCTAACTCCACAGCAGGCAGGGCAATATTTTTACTAGCCACTTTACGTTTAGCCAAACTCCATACCTGCTCAATGGCATTTAGATCGCAGCGATAGGGGGGAAGTCGCAATACCTCATGTCCATTTTGCTTCAGAAGTTCATCAGCTTCATATACTGGTTCTGGTGTGTTTCGTTTTACAAGACATAGCAGCTCTGCTTTTGTGTGATATAGTTAAATGGAATATCATTCAAAGTAAGCCATTCTCTTATATTATCATTTTTGCGACTTTGTGATGTAGGAGCTTTATTTAAAATGATTGAATGGTAACTGGCATTACTAATACACTCGGCTCATTTAAATTGGGTATGAGCTTTTCTCTTAGCCATTTATTAAAGTTAATGTCATTCATGTCATGGTGGTCGTTTGCCATTTTAGATTTAGTACTAAATACTATTAATGAGGCACAGGACCTTTCTCGGTTCCAGCATGTACATGGGGGAGGTGAGGGCAGCGGTGAGCGTCCCCTTACTTCCGATACCACTCCCAATTAAAAGGTAATACACTGTTCTTGAGAAAAATCAAAAAGAAAATCCCATAGACCTAACCTCAAAATGATAACATTTATCGTATCCGGCACGAGAGGGGAAGAGGGGAGCAGGAGTGTGCCCTATCCAGGAAAGCCCCTCTACCCTTTCCTCCTTGCGGAAAAGTATAGTTTATGAGTAATGGCTTTTTGCAAAATCTAAAATCATAACCTCACTTTTTTTTACACAGGAATATTGACCCAAAAATACGTCTACAACGGCTTCGGCGCAGCAGGGAGTACAGCCCCTTTGCCCTTGCGTAGCGTAACCTTGGATTCCGCGCCTACGGCTTTACAAAAACACTCTAGGAGTAGGGCAGACAAGACTACGTGGAGTCGGGTGGGCAGTTTTAAACACTTCAGAAATAAAACAGTACAATATTATAATCATTTTTTATTTGACACTTGACAGAGAGTATAGACAGTAGTAGTCTTACGTCCTTGACGCACTTACACAAAATTCTGTATGCTATCCAGCTTTCACAGTAATATTGCATACGTTTTTCCATGTTTTACTCGTTTTAGGTTATAATAGTTTTTATTTATTTATTCGATAACGGTGCATTATCTTTTAATGTGAGGGGTATTATTATAATCGGGGACCAAACATCTATCAAATAAAACATCTTACTCCCCCAAATTCCTGCCAAACGATTCTAAATCCAACCCTAGATAAATATAGAGACAGATTTTCATACATTATAAAACTGTAGTACATTAAAGACAAAAAATCTTGAGATTATCCTCTTTAAGCCATTATGAACCCAACTAAGTATCTATTTATCAACCAAAATTCAAATTCAAATTCAATTCAAATTCAAATTCAATTCAAATTCAAATTCTTTATTCAGTATCTTAAATTTAAATACATTAACTAGGCTGGGGTCTCCTTTTAAGTATATCAATACCTGTGTTAGGGGACCCCGCTCTTCCATAACAATTTTTTGTTGATACTTATAAGATAATAAAGATTAAATGTGTGTGCGCGTGCATGTGTGTGTGTGCGTGTGTGTGTGTGTGTGCCCGTGTTTGCTTGTGTATTATAGTATTTGTTGTAAGGTTTTATGCCATGGTGTACATTGATCTACTTATTTTAATAAATTTTCAGCTTCATCATACTCTATTGTCTTTAACCACATTGTAACGTGTTTTTTCACATTGTACTGGGTCATTGAATATATATTTAAATGTTTATTGATGTAGTTATAGAGATAAGCAGACTGACTTTTAAATTGCCTTCTGGCAAAACTCGTTTTCATAGGAACTATTTTAGCCACAGCATGTCTTCTTCTACTGTCGCAATTTCTGGGGTTGTATGTCAGTGTCTTGTGTAATCTTAACACAGAGTTAAGTATATACAGCCTCCTGACTGAAAGGTGGTCACATAGAGAGTACAGATCTTTAGTAGGGAATCTATAGGGCTTAAAGTGCATCACCTTTAGTAACAATCTCTGTACTCTTTCCAGTTCCAGAAACTTCATTTTAATAGCCCCACCCCAAACCGGGATACAGTATGTCAAGATGGATTGAGCTAATGAAACATATATTTGGCTCAGTAAGTTCTTATCTGTGATATGTCTAAGTGTTTTAAAAATCCATATGAGTTTTCTTATCCTTGTCATCATCAGTTCCAGATGTGCATGCCAGGATAGACGCTGGTCAATTATTACTCCTAAATATTTTGTTTTGCTTACTTTTGATATTTTGTTACAAATACAGTCTGAGTTTGAGAATTCAGAACATGTATGAATTTTGATTTCAAAGTTGGTTTCCGGTTGTGAGTTATTATAATTTGAAAATGCTATATAATTCGTTTTGTTGGTATTGAGAGTTAAGAGATTAGAATTTAACCAGCTGGCTATCTCGGTGAGACCTCTCTCTGCCATTAAACGAACATCATCCCAGTTAAAATAAATGTATAACCTTACTTAACCAACCGCACAGCCCTACGGTCATACTAGTACAATATTCATAGCATCACGCTATCTTCCCCAAGGGGTTGAGCGGAGCTTCGGAACTTCGGATTATATTCCTGTTGCGCGCCACTATTATATCTTGTACATGGCAAAACTAGTTACCACTAGCGCCCTCTAGTATCGAGTAACAGAACTAGAAGAGTGAAGATCCTTCTAGAGATTTCGGGACCGATATGTACTCGTATGGGCTAAATGGGGCATTTGTCGTAATTAGGTGCAGTTTTCTAATATAACGCAGCCTCTTTCGCTAGTTGATCGGCTCGCTCATTACCCGTAACTCCCGCGTGGGCCCTAATCCAAAACAGGCAGATCGTTTTATCCTGTTCCTTAACGAGCATGATGTTTTTCTTAAAGGCTATAACTAGAGGATGATACGAGTTTCGATTACGAATCAGTTCCAGAGCTGATCTAGAATCGCTGAGAACGTTAATTGTAGTCGCTTCATGTCCCAGTGCAAATTTTGTCGCCTGTAAAATTGCATACAGTTCAGCCTGAAAGACGGTGCAGAACGGTTCTAATTTAAATTTCTTGGCTTTAATCTCAGTGCCATTATACCAACAGGATAGCGCTGCTCCGACTTTACCCTCAATTTTGCTCCCGTCTGTGTAAATTTGATCACCCATGATGTTGTGTTTCCTAAGTGTTTCAGGCTGAGTATCTTCCAGGCAGTCGTATGTGATTCCTACTTCCTTGACTGGATGTTGTGCCTTTAAGGAGCAGACTCTACCTTCTATCTTCCTATAACCTATTCTCTCCTGAGGTTAACCTTTCTTTGCTTTATAAACAGAGGCTGCTTCTTGGACCCGAAGATCTAGAGGAAGCAATCTTGATAGGAGTAGTGTGGCATTTAGGGAGACTGTTCGGTAAGTTTTGCACATTTTTTGCGCGAATCCTCTCTGGATTACATTCAGCTGTTTTTGAAAGGTAATTTTTTCTGATGCTGTGGCCCACGCGCTAGCCGCATATAAGATTATCAGTTCTACCACTGCTACATATATTGTCCTGATAATCCCCGGATTTAGTCCCCACTCAATTTTAGCTGTACGTGCGAGTTGCTTGTAGATATTAGCGGCTTTACGACAAACTAGTTGCACATGTTTCTGGAAAGTCAATTTGTGGTCAATTGTAAGGCCGAGTAGTTTCATTTCTTCCACTAATGTTATCTCAGTTCCTCCCATTTGTATATGTGGCGTCTCATATTTAAGCTTCTTGGTTATAATCATAGCCTTTGTTTTATGTGGTGCGAATTTGAGTTTATTTTTGACTCCCCATTCATGTACATATGCCAAGACGTTGTTGGCATTATCTTGTATAACTGAGCTAGTTCCTCCGGAGAATATTAGGACAACATCGTCAGCAAACGCTTGACAATATACCCCACGTTTCTCCAACCCATCCAACAGGGGGTCTAGTAGAATATTCCAAAATGTGGGGCCCCCAATGGAGCCTTGAACACATCCTATTGTCATTTTTTTGAGCAAACGGCCCCTGCGTAGCCTACACAAACCCTCCTATCTTCTAAGTAACTATTTACAAGGTTACATAGATTTTGCGGACAGCGTTTCTCTGCCAGTCGGCACTGTATTGCCGGCCACCAGGCGCTATCAAACGCTCCTTCTATGTCGAGCGACACTATTACGTTTATGAGTTTTTGGTCAAGTTTTGTCGTATGTGTTTTAACAGGTCATACAGAGCGTCCTCAGTGCTGTGTTGTGGGATGAAACCATACTGCCTAGGATTTGTTTGAGGTAGGAGGTGCCATCTAATCCACCTTATGATCATTTTCTCAAGCATTTTGCCCATGACTGACAACAGTCCTATTGGTCTATGAGATTTTGGGGCCAGATAGTTATCTTTGCCTGGTTTTCTTATTACTATCACCCTCGCTTCTTTCCAGGGTATCGGGAAATGTGACAGTTGTAGGCATTTGTTCGCTATGTTCAGGAACACTTTTGGTTCTTGGCATATTACAACTGAGCATATGTCCGCAGTCAAACCGTCTGGACCTGGCGCCTTTTTTGTATTAAAGCTGTTTATCACGTAATTAATCACGTAAATTAGTGAAAGGCGGATCCATTTTGTCAGTAGCTGATGAGTCAGGTTTGCTTGCTGTTAATCTTGTTAGCTGATGTTCTGCATTATCGTCTTCTTCACGATCGTCTGGAAAGAAAGTCTCTGTTAGCCACTTGACTGATTCATCCACACTCAGAGCTATCCCATTCCTTACGAGTGGTTGGTCTTCGTATCTTTTGGTCGTTTTTGCCATTACTCTATAGATACTGTCTCACATACTCTCGCTATCCTGTTTTGTGCAGAAGTTCTTCCAACTTTCTGTTTGGGCTTTTATTACTTCCTCTTCATATTTCCCTTTTGCTAGGAGGAACTCATTCACTACCCATATTTTACGGCTTGGTGCAGCACATTGTATTCTTCTCTTTTTGGTGTTCATGTCTCTTTTCAATTTTTCCAAGTCTTCATTCCACCATATTATTTTCGGTCTGTTCTTAAATTTAATTAGAGGTATCGTCTTTTCACATGTTTTTTTTACACCGTCAATGTAATTTTCTATCATCAGTTGTAAAGCTTCCTTAGTTATAATGTTATTGATCTCATTTTTATCTATATTTCTTCTTTTTATTTGGTTTGTCAATTCTTAGCCTTTTTCGTATTGAATATTCTTGTCGTACTTCTTTGTCTGTCTTGTGTTGGTCTTTTTAATTTTATATTAAATCTAATCGCATTATGGTCTGAGCTAGTTACATGTTCTCCAATCATTTACGACTCCTAGTAGTTCCAATGTGCCTGCCGTGATATCAACATGACTCTTGTTGTGGTGTTCCCTCCTCTTATGGTGTCAAATGTTGGTACGTTCCCGATATTAAGAATTTGCAAGTTTAGCTCTTCTAATGTTCCCGACAGTGCCTCTCCTCTATGGTCTTATGTCACACTTCCCCACCATGTGCTCCATGCGTTACTATCTCCTCCAAGCAGTATTTTGGTGGTTCCTATGGTCCCAACAATGGCTTTTGTATTGTCCAAATATGGTTCGATTGGCATATAATCCTCCATGTAGATCGATATGACTCCTATGGTCCATTCATTTGTTTTTAATATAGCAACTGCTATTTTTTCTGTTGTCAATGTGGGGCTTTCAATAATCTCCACATTCTCGTCAAAAACCACTATGGCCGCCTTTACAGGCTTTGTCCTGTTATTGTTTCGTTGAACCACGCGTGTTCCAACGTGTCTTTTAAGTACTCCCTGGGAGCCTATATACGGTTCATGTATTAGTGCATGCAAGAAATTCTTTCTTTGGCGGCTTCTATTATTAATTCTGTTGTTGCCAGTTTTTTCTTTTGTAAATTGGCCTGTATGACCCTATACGTTTGCAGAGTTTGGAGGGTGTGTGCATCCGTTGAAGTGCTGCCTGCGTCTAAGTCGTCTTTAGCAGTACGCCGCCGTCGATCGAGCTAGTGTATCCCATCTTTTCTTAATTGGGCATTCAGAGTCAAAGGCGTTGTGGTCATTTATATCTTGTTTCGCGTGGAAGCAATTTCGACACGATGGTGCATTTCCTGCAAGCCAATCTGTGCATTCTGCCCTCATATGTGGGCCGCCACAGTGGCTACAGATGTCAGCAGTTTCCTTGCAGAACCTTCGACCGTGACCGTACCATAGGCAGCGTGAACACTGCACTAATGGTGTCTGATCTGCCACTCGAACTCTCTGCAAGTCAATATGCACTCGTCCTACCGGCGTTAGTCGCTGCCACACTTGGGGGGAAACCTGCATGATGACATGTTTTGCATGAGGATTTCTGGTCTTACGTCGGTATTTCACGTCTCTGTTTTTATTTCTCCTATTAGGTGATTATTTTGATTTTTTAGCGCAGTCACTATATCTTCATCTGAATTGTACACTAGTACGTCTTTTAGGATTATAAGTGGATCCTTATTTTTTACCTCTTCGACATGCAGGCTTCCTCCCGAGTGTTTAATTCTCTCTGTCACTTTTGCCAGTTTTTCTTTTGATTTACATCCTACAATTACTTTTTGATCTCTTGCTTTACGTATCCTCTCTATTTGTATACCCTCATGTCTTGCATTTACCGCCATTCTAATTTTGTCAATAACCTCACTACTAGTGTCCTTCGGCTCATCTGACGTCACTACCACCGAGTGTACCTGTTGATGATTTGTGGTACCTACTTCTTGTGCATAAGTTCGTCCCAAGTTGTTATTCTGTGGAGTTTGTTTCAGTTGTTCGATGAGTATTATGGTACGTTGTTTACATTCCACTACTGTTTTCGCATGGTCTTGTAAGTTTTCTATAAGCTCGTTTATTAGCTCGATTGGTGGTGGCGATTCGGTTGAGGTTACAGTTTTTAATTTATGCGCTTTTGTTAGTTGCTTCGCGTGTTCCCTCTCGCGCTTTAATTGATGCGGAATTTAATGGGTGCGGACCCCCCTCTCATCGCAGCCCCCTGACACACATCCGAAGTGGGCTCGCCAAGCCCACTCGGAGTGGCCACCTCGGGCCGGCCTTACACCACGGACCAGCCAAGGGGTTCCTCTTTGTTCACCGCGGTTGACCAAGCCACGGCTACTAAGCCCGCCCGTCACGACAAGGCGGGAACCCGTTCGGGGGGGTCGGGGGGGAACCTAACCTAACCTGACCTTTTTTTTTTACAGGGGGAAATCCTCATGGACTACCTCCGCCTGGGGAAAGGCGGAGGGGCGTGCCGGACTCTTACCGGCTAAAACCACCCCGATGTCTCCTCGCACGTGCGCGTGGGGCCGCGGGAATCCAAATTCTTCCGAAGCCCCACACTAGGGCTTGCCCGGTCTGTCCGGGCCTCGTCTCCTGCACGGGGTAGTGAGGTGTTCAACTACCACGTGTATCGCCTCAGGGGCGCGCGCCGACACCCGTGCGCGCCTCCGCCTCGGGTCCATCGAATAGGGGTTAAATTCCGCACCAATTAAAGCGCGAGAGGGAACTCGCGCTTTAATTGGTGCGGAATTTAATGGGTGCGGACCCCCCTCTCATCGCAGCCCCCTGACACACATCCGAAGTGGGCTCGCCAAGCCCACTCGGAGTGGCCACCTCGGGCCGGCCTTACACCACGGACCAGCCAAGGGGTTCCTCTTTGTTCACCGCGGTTGACCAAGCCACGGCTACTAAGCCCGCCCGTCACGACAAGGCGGGAACCCGTTCGGGGGGGTCGAGGGGGAACCTAACCTATCCTAACCTGACCTTTTTTTTTTTTACAGGGGGAAATCCTCATGGACTACCTCCGCCTGGGGAAAGGCGGAGGGGCGTGCCGGACTCTTACCGGCTAAAACCACCCCGATGTCTCCTCGCACGTGCGCGTGGGGCCGCGGGAATCCAAATTCTTCCGAAGCCCCACACTAGGGCTTGCCCGGTCTGTCCGGTCCTCGTCTCCTGCACGGGGTAGTGAGGTGTTCAACTACCCCGTGTATCGCCTCAGGGGCGCGCGCCGACACCCGCGCGCGCCTCCGCCTCGGGTCCATCGAATAGGGGTGGCGGGGGCTTCCCCAAGTCCCTCGCCCCTGGACCCATTTATGGGGGCCGGAAAAGGGCATTGTCCGCCCTTCTCCTGCGCCCGGTGCGCCTTCTGCGGCCAGGGAAGGGAGTCGAGATCTCCCTTTCCCGTTCCGCAGTTTCCTTCTGCGACATCACGTCCTCGCAGAAGGACACCACTGCATCACACGACTCTGCGCTACCGACCATCTCCCGCACTAAGGCCGGCAGCGACAGATCGCCTCCTACTTTATTTGTGAGGACACGGCGCTGCTCCTCCCAAGCTACACACTCGGCGAGCGTGTGTTGCGCCGTGTCCTCCCCGCAATGGACGCAGTGGTGGCACCGAGCGTCCGGCTCCCTGTCTATGCGGCGCAGGTACTTGCCGAAGCAGCCGTGCCCCGACAGCACCTGCGTCACCCTAAACGACAGGGAGCCGTGCCTTCTCCCGAGCCAGTAGTCGAGTACTGGCCGGATCGCCTCGACGGTAGCGAGGCCGGCGGTAGGGCGCAGAAGCCTTTGCCGCCATTCCGCCACCAAGACCTGACGGAGCTCCTCTCGGCGCAGCGCGATCTGCCGCTGCACCGGCCTCGAGCTCCGTGTCCACTCTTCCTCGCGCCATCGATATAATGACGCGAGTAATTTCGCCTCTAGGTCCCAGGGCGGGGATCCGGCCAACCACGATGTGTGAACCCGGCGGCGGCGCGCGCCGATGGCCATGGAACACCATGGCCTCCGACTTGTTTAGGGCCACTTCCAGGCCCAGGCGCCGGATGCGGTTCACCACTTGTGACACCGCAGCCGTGGCAACCAACGCTGCTTCCCTGTGCGAACTCCCCCGGGCAGTGACGAGCATGTCGTCCGCATAACACGTCAAGTCGGCACCCGACGGGAGTTCACCTCTCAACACCCAGTCGTAGCCGATGTT